CCAGATGACCCACAGAGGTCCCTTCCAACCCCGAACATTCTGTGATTCTGTGAATCTCTTCCCTCCTGAAAGCAGAGCTGTCCTTATCAGAAATCCTCGAGAGGGTTTCTTCTGTTTAAGCCCCAACCTGTTCCTTGTCTATTTGGGATACTTAAAGTTTATATTAACATATAATCACGCTCTGCTGCACAGCTCTGGATTTTCCCCCCAAAAAGGAAAGAAAGCAAACAACAATATGTCTCCCAGCCAGAAATTATCCCAAAATCTAGACCTCTCTCTGCCCCATCTTTAAAAGCTTGCCTCTTTGGAGAGGAGCGCTAATGAAGAAAGTGCTCACGCTGGCAGAAGGGAAGGGAGAAGAACTGAAAGAAAATCTGCGAATAATCAAAAAAGAACAAGGGTTCAGCTACAGCTCCGTGAGTCTCTACCCCGGCCTTCAGCAAAGGGTGGTTCAGTCTGGGAGCATGAGGTTGAAGTGGAATAAGAAAGTGATTTTGTCAACCTCTTTCTAAGCCTGGGAGAGGCTGGCCTCTAAAAGCCTTCAACACATCTTCAATAAAGTTAGTTCCACTGAGGTGCAGGAGACAGCTAGTCTTACCCATGCAGCCTTCTTCTTCGTCAATAAACATTTTGGATTTCAGCACACGCTTCCGCTTCCTCTTCCTCCCTCCAGCTGAAACCTGCAGGACATAGCAGTACTGTGAGAAATCAAGAGTTAAGGCCCCGTGCACGTACACAGGTCATAAAAGCATTAGCCCCAGGAGTGAAATCTAGTCTCTAATGAAGCTGAGCACGATATGCTGACTAATCCCGTCCCTTCCCAGGATATCCTAGTCTCATTTTTGCTAACGCCATAATTCTCCCCCTCCTACTTGGACAAACTTCAGAAAGACAAAATACAACTTAAAAGAGACAGCAAGCCTTCGGGTCTGCCAGCACAGGGGGCACATTCCTCTTCTGGGGCTCGTGACATTTTGAGATGTGTTTAGTTAGGTGAGAAGGTGGCACCGGGATTGTCCCATCATACCTCTGAAGACTGAGGAAATAACAAGGAGTGTGAGACATCACAACTCCTGCCGTGACAAGCAGTGGCACTTTCAGTAAAACTACACATATTTGCTCAGCTCAGAGGTTAACTTCTTGCCAGTCACAGCCTGCCTGCCTTACACAGCAGCTTCCCTGCGACACAAGGGTCAATATCAAGAGTCTCTGGTTTTAATTCTG